CAAGCAGTGACCACAACCTTGCCCCTTGTCAGTTCTACTATACACCTGGGAATTCTGATCATTCACATAAACTTATAGGACCATTGTCTGCCCACCCTATACATGTTCTTGGATACACTCCCCATTTCATAGACATACTCCATCCATTTCCTTTATGCATAAAGGCCAACATGTTGTTTAATTATAGAAATTAATATTTGGACAATTTTGACAGCACATCACAATTACTCCAGTTGCCAAGGAATCAAACAAGCAACCTCACCTGATAGTGATCCATCTCATTCAACCCTCTATTATGCCCTCTTTGACCTCCTAGAAATCCATTTTAGCTCATGGAGATAGGCAGGGGCCCTATCAACTCTTCTTTATTCCATTAGGTATTTCTCTTAGAGGTGAGGAATTGATTGGGACTCCATCTTCTAGTGATGGTTAGCTTCCTTGTCTACATCGACCACCAATATCTCAGAGACAAGAGGTTAAGAATACAGTCTTTAAACCCTGGCAAAACATAAGATCCCAAAAGATCACAAGCTCCAAAAGCACATCCAAACAAAATAAAAACAGAGAGCAAGAGATGAGAGCTATGCCTGCAGATTGCTTGTCAATCAGTATAAGCCAATCAGTCAAATGGTATAATATTTTAGGTAATCATTATTTAAACAATGGGGGAAAAACACTTCATTTGCTCAATTTGGGATCCAATTCGACCATACACTGAACTCAATTGATGGCCTTGGTTTCATGATTAAAACATTCCATAGCAAATGGTTTGACCATACTTTGTCCTTTCCAACTTAGTGCCTGATGCCACATTTAGCCAAAGGCAGGCATGGAATCTCATCTAAGCAAGTCCAAGCTATTGCAACACATGTGCCTTCAGTCCCCATAGAGAAAGATCATATTGCCAAGTAGTAAGAATATCCACCAGTAATCAAAGTGACTGACAGATGTTTACATTAGAGTTGTCATCACTAGAATTGCAAAGTGGGCTGGGCTCCAAAATTTTTAATTTGGCAACAACTTTCCATATACATAGCACCTTTTTTATAGTTAGTAGATTTGTCCTTGTAACCCCAAATTTTGTTATTTAGGATCCGTGCTTTAACCACACAACAATGTTTCATTTGTGGGTTGACTCACACATACCAATCTCACCACTGAGGTTAGACTAGTTCCCACTCATTTAGTATCTCCTTAAACAGCATTTATACATATTCCATTTAAAAAATAAAGTTTGTGGTTAAATAAGATTGGAAAATTCTAGGTCTAAATTAAATGGGTTTCCTTTCTGCAGGACTTCTCAGATCATTTAACATGCCAATGAGTACTAGGAATCTTTAAGAAAGGGCTATCCTTTGTAGCATTTCACAACCTCATTTAACCATAGAACACTTTTTAAAATAGTTTACAGGGGGTGAGGAGACAGGAGGAGTAGGGTATGCAGTTCTTAGAATATACTTTAGGGAAACATTGTTTTAAATGTCTGCCCTCTGTGACTTCCAAGTAACTAACAGATAAGAGCTGTCTGTCTGGGTGGCATAAACACTCCTTTGGAAGCCTTCAATCTCTTTTGATTGGCAGAGTTAGGGATAGTGAGTGTCTGGGGCATTGAAAGCAAAGTTCTCAGAACAACTACCTGGGCCATATGAGAATCTCTTTATGGCAGTTCATTTAATCGACAAACATTTATAGAGCATCCACAATGTGCCAGGAACTAAGCATAAATAATAATAAGACTGCTTTAATCTGCATAACAAAAACAGAATTTTTCTGAGATGAAATGCCATTTGAACTAGACCTTGAAAGATGACCTCCAGGGATCAGGGTGGGTAGAAGGAGGTATTTTGGGGAGAGAACAGTGTGCACAGAGGCACAGTCAGCTGAAAGGGCTTTTTTTTTTTTTTTTTTCCTTTTCCTCTGACCATCACTCCCTGGCTTTTCTGTATACACACAGCATATCATATGCTGGCCTTTTGTGATGTATGCCCTAAACAAATGGGGACCAGTGCTTCAACGAGGAGTTGGTGGCATAGTGCCTAAGGCATCAGACTGCTAGCCAGATGGCTGGTAGTTCAAATCCACCAGCTACTCCTCGGAAGAAAGACTGAGCAATCTACTTCCGTAGAAATACCTCCTCGGAAACCCGAGGAGAGGTCACTATGAGTCGGATTCGACTCGACGGCAGTGAGTTTGGTTTTTTTGGTTTAGTGCTTCCAGGAGCTGGAGAGGCTGGCCACTCTGCGTGGACTGCTGTAGGAAAGAAATCTACCAATCACTGGACTGGTGCTTACTTACCTAGGAGGTGCAAGTTTCCCTTTATTAGGAGCAATCAACCAAAATTTAACAGATCACAGAATACCAGGATATGGAATATCTCCACAAAATATTGGAAATTCATTCTAAGAATGATAGAGGTAAAGTAGGGGGATGTGAAATAACATTTATTAAGTCCTTACTATGTGCCTGTCAATTTACATGCTCCATATATTATCTCATTTATTGATGAATTATATAATAATTGTATGTATGTGTACTTACATAATGTGTTTTACAAAACATTTTCATATACCTATTTCATTTGGTTCTCACAAGAATGCTGTGAGCATGGGCAAGGCAGGTATAATAAGACCCTTTTTGCAGAGGAGTGTAAGGTTCTAGATAGTTAAGTGATTAACTCAGGATCACATAGTAAGTGGCAGTACCAAGACTAGAAACCAAGTCTTCTATGTCCTTGATTTGTATTTGCTCTGTGTTACTAAAAGAGGCTGAAGGTAGAGGGAAGTAGATTTATACCCAATATAAAGAAAATATTTCCAAAAATCACCACTGTTGAATAGTGTAATAGGTTCCCTTATGAAATGGTTGTAGAGAATATCTCTGATTTAGGTGGGAGGTTAAATGTCATAGCTTTAGGGTCACTCTTAACTCTAAGATCCAATGATTCTAAAATTCCAAGGTCCTATTTCTCCTAGATAAGGGTTCTAGTGATTAAGCTTCTTCCTAGGCAACTTCTGTTTATTATATACTTGGCATTTAGAAGAGAGATACCTTTAGAGAGATGTTTGGGAGTTAGAACTTTTCCCAACATCACAGGTAAAACCCATTGCTTTGGTACAAGCATAAATCACATATAACCAACACCTCTAGATGTGTCCCAGATCAAAAAATGATGGGGAACAGCTAGAAATCACACATAGTTATCAAAATTTCAAAGTATATGAGTTTGAGTTTGCCTTGAAACTGAAAATCTTGTAATGCACAGCATATACCAGAAATGATGGGAAGAGACACAGTTCTGCATCTGAACACTCATCACTTGTTTAGATGTACAGTGAATCTGATTGTTTAGAATCTACAGAGATGGCCAAAGACCAAATGTATTTTAAGAGGTGGAAAGTTTGGACTAAGAAGAAGCCACATTTGTCTTCTCTGACAGAGGACTAGGATCCTCCTTAGAGCCAACAGAACCAGCCACTGTTCCAGTTCCCTTGGAACATTTTTTTGTCATATATTTACAACTCCCTATGCTCAAGAGAATAGTGCATCTGTCTGATGGAGACGCCTGGCTGCATTCTTTCCCAGATATTAATATAGGTAGCACTTTAGTAGCATAACCAATGACATGAAGAACCTGATTTGGAGGGGAACAGATGGCAGCAACTTTCTTGGGCTAATTTTAGGAATCCGAAATAGTCCCTTTCTCACACAAACCATCAGTGAACCAAATTAAGGCAGCTATGTCACATGGAAAAAAGGGAGAGAAAAAGTGTGGTCTAGTGTGAGGCAAAAACAACAAACCAGTGATTTCAATGCTTCCCCTACATGACTCCCTTCATAGCCTAGGAGATTCATTTTAACCTCTTTTCACCAGAATGGATGCTGAATACCAAAGAAAGGGTTTGCAAGAAGAAATGAGTGGACGAGTTTTATTCACAGTCACATGCATTGAAACATCTGTCATATAATCATGATTGTATCATGTAATAGCTAAAGTCATATGCTCTTAAGAATGTGTAGGACCTACATTCGAATGCATTTTTTCTTAGAAGATAAGGAAGCTGTGGCTAAGTAACCATTCTACTTAGTAAAACAGAAGAAAATTGGATTTCAAAACCTGAGTCCTCTTCCAGTGTTTTGCTCCCTGAAAGGACCTTTCCTCCAATTTAGACATACAATACCAAATAGCAATAATGACATATCAAGGACGAGTCCCTCAACTAGGAATGATGTCTTAAGTACAAGATGGTCATCCAAGGATTTAAAAAAATGGGGATGAAGAGCTATTATGCAAAGGTACCTACCTGTTTTCCATCCAGAGTGTAGAGTTTTTTGACGACTCCTGTCTCTAGTTTGATGGCTTCTGTTATGTCAGTGAGGACTTGCTCAAATGAGTGGGCTGTCTTCTTGTTCAGAAGCACTCGCACAGCCTTCCGAGGCTTTACCCCACTGCGGATGATGGTCACCAGCTTGGGGCGCACAAAGTCCTTGTTCTCCCTGGCCTGGCCACTGTTGCTGCTAGCCAGGGACTGAGGGGCTTTCATATTGGCTGATGTCTTCACGTTAACAGACCAGTTGGGATTGACATTCTTGGTGTACTCCACCTTTTTAAAGAAGTTGTCTGAGGAACAAACATAGCTTTCCCCTAAGGGAGGAAAAAAAGTGGTCGGATGATTAGTTTAATGGCAGACTCATATGGACTATTCTAACCAAATGAATACATATTGACATCAAGGTGGAACTTCTGGAGAACTGGTGATTAATAACCAAGCTTAGGCATAATTACTAATTGGGCTTTCTAACAATTTGCCTCATTCAAATTCAAGAGCAAGTGATCAGTGACACATCTTTCAAAGTAATGGCTTACCTCTTTGAAGAACCTTCTAAGGCTAAGGGCTCTACAGATAATGAACACACATATGTATAACCAAATAAGTGGACTTCTCAAACTTGATATATTTTTATTGGAATTTAAAACATTTATGGTAATTTTTAGGATTACAGAATTTTTTCTATCATTTCATATGTTTGTTTATTTCTAGGGCCATTACTGGAGTGTTTTTAACATGTCTATTTCTTAATGGTCCTGTCCTGTGTTCCATCACTTTATCCCTTTGTTATATTATGAACCAAGAAGAACATTGACAGTTAATACCTTTTATTCCAAGCTAAAGTGACCCAAGTAACCTTGGGTATTGGGCATACAGTACATGACAAGAAGCCAGATTGCCTTTTGCAAAGGGTATGTGGCTAAGCAATTGAATATTGAAATGTGAAATGTGTGTGTTTGTTTGTGTGTTGTGAATATATATATGTGTATATATTGTGTCCCACACTGCTGACTTCTATATTCAAGTGGAGAAACTGTCTGAATAACAACCTACACACACACACAGGCACTCCAAAACTACCAAACTCACTGCCATGGAGTCGGATCTGACTCATAGTGACCCCTCCTTGGGTTTCCGAGGCAGTATCACTAAGGAAGTAGATTGCCCAACCTTCCTTCCAAGGCGTGGCTGGTGGGTTTGAACTGCTCACCTTCTGGTTAGCAGTCAAATTCCTTAGGTGCTATGCCACCAGAGCTCCCACACAGAGGCACACACACTCACAAGCTTCCCTTTATTTGCAAGTCTAACTCCTGCTTATGAATCAGCTGCTAAACCTCACAGTCCGCCCCTGCAGCTTGAAAAATACTCTCCCATGTTTCCACCACCCACCCTTCATCTTTCCATCTTCCCAAATGCTGCACACTAGATCTGTGTATGTGGGGCTGTCTTCACCAGTGCTCACACTTGGCTGCTACAAGTAATGAGGTGACTATGTGAGAATACATCATAATTGTCTGATTTATAGATTGGAGAGATCTAGTGTAATTTTCACATTGACCTTGGGCTAGAGGAAATGACTAATAAAGTGGAAGAAACAGAGGCAAGAGGAGAGGAGTAGACACCCAGGACTAGAAGCTAGAGAAAATACAAAGAGAGGTAAGCTCAGCCTGGGGGGGAGAATATCGGAAAAGTTTTGACTTTGTCGAGTAAGGAGTATTACCCTCAAGGTATACACAAGTTCATCCAGAGGTTGAGCTGCAGAAAACTAGAGTGATTTCATCAGGTTTAAGTCATCAGTAATAACCCTAAATAAATAAATAGGCCAGCACTAGGCAGTGCAAAGAAAACATTAAACACAATTATAGCCTGATTGCTCTTCACCTTCCCTTGGTCTCAGTGGGAGAACCACACAGAGACATTCAGAAACCCTGGGCTGATAATTTACTCCCTTTGCAGATATTGATTACTTTGCTGTAGCACCAAATCCTTTAAGTCATGTTAATTAATAAATTTCTCAGTTAGTACTAAGAAAAGATTCAGTCAGATTCCCTAGGGCACCTTTGAGGACATTTATGTGTGTGTGGAGGGGGAGGGTAAGTGGCTTCCAAAGTTCTTCTGTGTCCCAGAGGCCTCAAGTGTTCTGTCTTGATGGAAGGGGGGAGGGGGCAAGGAATGGTTTGTAGGTGCACCCTCCTCCACCTGGTACACACATGCATGTCCCAGGATGGGATGGCTAAAGGTTCTCTCTGCTGCCTCTAATCACATGGATTGGGTAGGATTAGCCAGCCAGGGTACTAGAGAAATTAGGGTTTCTCATGGCCGGGTTTTTAATTTGTGAATTACAAGGATGAAGGGGCCCTTTCAATTCCTCTGAACTTTATAGCCAGTATCCTTTATAGCCAGTATACCTTAGAATGGTGCCTTGCCTTAGCACTTCACCAGATTCACAGGCACCTTGCGAGAGGTCGCTGCCTTTGAGTCAAATGTTTTCCATAACCTGTCATGTACTTTGATACCCTGTCTGACAACTGGTAGTGTGGAAATGTGTGAGGTTGTATATTTATGATTTCACTCATCCACAGTCATCTCTCGAGAGTCAGCTGTGTAACTCTATTAGGACTCTGGACTTTTTTTGCTCCCATTTCTTAAACCTCTTAAGCCTCTGAACTATGAGTATGATTAACCACCTCAGATGAAAATGAACATGATGGCAAATAGCTATAGTATCATATGACACTGAAGAACTTTCCAGAGCGCCCAGCCTTCAGTCAAATCTGTGTAAACACCTTCTGAGGGTACATTTTAGTCACTCTACTCTCTTCTTTTGGCTTCAATACAGAGTAGTGGCAAAAAAAAAAAAAAAAAAAAAGCAGCTGATGTGATATCAGTCAGAACTGGAGCCTGTTTCTGTTCCCAACATTTCCTAGTTTTGTATACTAGGACAGGTTACCCAACCTCCCTTGGCTTCAGCTTCTTGTTTGCAAAATGGGGATATAATGACAATACCTACCTCATAGGGTTATTGTGAGGCATAAATCAGATGATAAACATACAGTGCTAAGCCCGGCACCTGGCATAAAGTAAACACTTAACGAATTCTAGCTATCATTATTTTTAAGGCTTTAATTTGAAGAAATAGAGATGAGGATGAAATGGAAAGAGCAGAAAGAGAAAGGAGGAAGAAAGAGTTGAGAGAAGAGAAAGGAAAGAAATAGTAGAAGCTAGAGGAAAGACAAAGGAGCAAGGCCAGGAAGCAAGGAACTGAGTTGTCATTACAATATAACATGACCACTGCCTGGGTCCCATACCTCAAAGATAAAAGCTCCTATTGGTTGGGAGGAGGCCTGCAGTCACTACAAATGCCAAATGAGGCGCTCTACAGCTAACACCCAGCAAAGCCCATGCTGCCACTGCTGAAGCCCACTGAGGGTAAGATAGCTACACTGGTTAAGAGGAGCAACTCAGGAGTCAGACAGATAGGCCTGGATTCAAGTCCCAGCCAGGCATTTACAAGCTGTGTGATCCTGGACAATTCACTTCATCTCTCTGTGTTTCAGCTTTTCTATGGCACTACATAACATCTGAGGTCTCCATAAGTCTATGAGAAGAAATCTCCTTTCCATCCCACATAGGCTTTAGGAGACAATATAACAAAGCTGTTACAGTAATTATAGGTGAAAGAAATAGTGCTCGTCACTGAGGACTCTCTACTTCTCATACTGGAAAGACATTAACTGTGCTGCTTCTCTGGACTAAGGCTTCCTTGTTGTGATTTGGCAAACATCTGCTGCCAGAGCTTGGTGCTTCCTTCACGTCTGGCTGCCTGGCATTTAGAACTGAGTGAGGTGTGTTGCACCTTTACACAGCTGGGTTCCCATCCTGCCACAGCTTCCAGGGGTCATTTCCCACCCACTGGGACCCGCGAAGGAAAGCTGGTTTCAAAGCCAAGCAAGGTGACAACTTTGTGGAATTGAAAACCTGCTCTGGGGTGAGGGGAAAAGGAAATGAAGTCATGGAAGACCAGCTGTAAGGGCAGGAAGGGAATGAGCTGTGAGCTCAAGATGATCTAATGTCTACCTCCGTTCATTTTCAGGAGGGTTCCATTTCCAAAAGCATTAAACATATTTACATCTCAGTGCAAAACACTTCTGCCTGGGCTTTCTCCTCTTCCCTTGGGCTTCCTGACTCAAGAAGATAAATTTTCATGCTACTTCATTATCTTATTATACCTATTAACAATGCATTCCTCTCAGGTATCTTAAAATTCTCCTCTTTGGTAATGTGCTTGCTTCAGTAGTTAGAAGACAAATTAGTGAGAAGGTGGTTTTATCTCATTGGAAGAAATGAGCTATGGGAGAGGAACTGGATCATGGCTAGTGTCGCCATACAGTTCAGATTTTCGAAGACCATTCCAATTGTAAATATTCTGTCTCAAGGACTGCTTGAAAATGCTCAAACTTATCTCAATATGCATTCAGTGAAGTTGGCTAGTCATGAATAATGCCCCTAAGATTGATCTGAGTACTCACATACAAGTAACTGGGGAAAGGAGGTGAGAGAATATGAGGGGAAGAAGGATTCTAAAATGAAAGACTAAGTAAGAAAAAAGGAAAAGCCAAAGGATTTTACTCATTGATCCACTAAGAATACAGTAGAGCCATATTTTATACAGCCTCACTAAGACTCTAGGTGTTTCCAAGGAGTTGTGGGAAAGGTGACATCAATCATCTGACTTTGGTCTAAAATGCTTGCCTTGCTACCTTAAGTATGCAGCAGCAGACACTAGATTAGAGACATTAGACAAGGGGGTGCCACAAGGCCAGAGTAATTATTAACCAGTTGGTTTTCATTTCATTTCATTATAGGCTAAATATGTATTACTGTCGCCATTTGGAAATATAATACGTTCTATGATCCATTATTGTTTTAAGAATTGAAATGTAAAAAACAAAAACAAGGATTTCTGCATTCCTAAGAAGTCTCACCACTAAAGTTAACTGAAGGGGACAATTAAGATACACCGTATCCAATACTTCTAAAGTCTTAGTGTGCACACTTAGAAAAAACACAGATTCCTGGGCCCTATACCTGGGTATTCTGATTCAGTAGGTCTGTGGTGTGGTCCAGGAATCTGTATTTTTTTATGGCTCTGAAAGATTCTGAAAGGCAGTCACATTTTGGAACCACTGGTCGTTCCAACCCCTCAGAAACATCATCATCATTATTATTACTACATTCATCACATTATTTTTTTTTTGCCTTGTGCATGTGTTTTCACATTCATTATCTCTTTTTATCCTTACAACCATCCTAAGTGATAGAGAAGGCATATTTTACTAGTTTCATTTTACAGATATGAAATAGAAAACATCCATACAATGGATATACAAAAATCCATACAATGGAATATTATTCAACAATAAAAAGGAATGACAGGTTGATATAGGTACAACATGGACGAATCTTGTAAACATTGTTGTTATTATTAGGTTCCATCGAGTTGGCTTCACCTCACAGTGACCCTATGTACAGCAGAAAGAAATACTGCTCAGTCCTGTGCTGCACATTATGCTAAGAAAAAGAAGACAGTCACAAAGGACCAAATACTGTAGGATTCCATTTATATGAAATGTCTGGAAAAAGCAAATCTATAGAGATGTAGATTAGTGATGGCCTAAGGCTGGAGAGGTTGGGGGGAAATAGAGAGTGACAGCTAATCTTGGTTTTCTTGGGTTTGTGTGAAAATCATCTTAGATTGTGATGATGTTTGCATCACTTGGTAAATTTTCTAAAAATCATTGAATTGTATACCTCAAATCGGTGGATTTTATGGTATGCAAATTATACCTTAATAATGTTGTTTAAAATAAAGGGAACATCAGCCTCAGTGATGTTAAGGGCAAACCTATGATCATGTAGCTATTCAGCTATAAACTATGATAACTGAAGCAATAATAACTAGCCTTTATTGGGAGTGCCAAGTAAAATACTAAGTACTTCATATCCATTGTTATATTTAATTCTCAAAAGTGTTATTCCCATTATACAGATGATAAACAGAGGCCCAGAGAATCTAAATGATTTCCCCAAGGTCACAAAAATTAGCAGGTGGCGGACCTTGGATTTGAACCAAGGTTTGTCTGACCCCAAACACTTCTCTTCTCACTATAATCTACTCCCACTAAGACTAGAACACAATGGTCCTGATTCTTCACTGAGATATTCCAAAGCTTTTTCAATTCGAAGCTGCACGTGTGAATTTTTGCTCTTTCGTTGTACCTCTTCCAAAGGTGAAGAAAGTAAAGGGACCTTTGTCCTCCATGTCTAGATATACTGAGTATTTCTAAAGTGCAAAATAGAAGAGAAGAAGACTCATTTCGTCTACCTTCCTCACCTCAGAACTCTTTCCTGTCTGGCTTTGTGGTTATTGGAAAATTTGTCACATGTCTCAACATTTTCCCAGAGAGACCTCTGAATTTCCTCGATTGAATGGGCAGTACTCAGGACAGGGAGGGCATTGAGATCCACTATAGCTTGTGTTTGTAGATAATTTATAAACAAATGCAACATATTATGAACCCTAATCACACTCTACATAGTCCAGGATCAATAGGAAGTACCATTGCTCCCTGGAGTGGTAGCTGGTGTTCAGTCCAGCAGGGCTCAGAACAACTCAACAGAAAAACTAGTTTTTTCCAAATTATATTTATTAGCACTATTGAACAGAGATTGTTTATCAGTACATTTCCCTCCAACACACACACACACACACACACACACACACATTCAGAGAGGACATGTGGAAAACGGATTTGGGGGATGAGGGTATCTGTGCATTACACCTCTCATATTAGATGCAAAATTTTCTAATCCCTGTTCCTAACACAATGTTGCTTGCTTCAGAATTCTGCACTAGCATCCATTGTGCCCTTCAGATGATCACAGCTAGTATAAATGAGGACTTACTTGGTGACTCCGTTTGCTGTGTTTGTGAAAGTTATTATAGCAAGAGCCCTCAAATTCAGGTGAGGTATGAATTTTACAGTGACAAAAGGTACACACTCAATTGATTACTTTGTTGGACAGCTCCCTCAATTTAGTTTTAAACCATAGACATTTGCCCTTACCCTTAAAGATTTATGCTAGGATAACCAATCCTTCAATGGTCAGGAAAGGCCTAGGATTAACCTCTTCCTGGCCATGTAGACCCAGATCCAGCAATCACATGGAGACTGTCCTTTATAAGTAACCAGCCCCCATCACTTGGCCTGACTTGGGAAACTGTAGCTACTTAAGGGAACTGTAGACTTGTAAAATGGAAACTCTGCATGCTCCTTTGTCTAGAAACATTAGAAACCCAGAAGCAGTGAAGCGGAGGCTGGGTACTCCTACAAGTCATTTAATGTGCTGTTTCTTCTTCCCTGTTGGTCAGTTCACAATTTGTTTTCTTTAGCAATCTGAGTACTGTAAGCTCACCTTTCTTTGCCCAGGGAATGGAGGGAGCATGGAGCGAAGGCTGAAGAGTGGGGGAGGGGATTGGAGAACATTTTCATTATTATCACTCCTTGAGGCTGTCCTTTAAAGCATTGTGTTTGGTTAAAATTATCATGTATGTTATACCTACCAATTTAAAAGTGGAAGTAGGGAAGCATCCTCAGTATAATTGATTTGATAAAGGATGCATTCCAAGATCTATTTTCTAAATGATCACAAAGAAGACTTTACAGCTGAACAGTTTTGGTTAGAGGTTGGATTTTCCCTATTTTCTGGTGAGTACACAGGTTGTCTGGGTTTTCAGAAATCTTGGCAGGAAATACATTTGCAAAACCAAAATCTAGAGAAGATTTAAAGGGATTGAGGTACAGTGAGTCAGTTCCTATTCTAATAGGAATGGTCTTTATTAAAATACCAGACATACCTACAGCTTTCTTTGGTATTTCTCTCAGTGACCTCAGCCTTAGGGACACACCCTGAAGTGAGCTTTTTAGAAGCAACAGCTGAGCAATGACCACTTACCTAAAAGTACAATCCTCTGTGAATATGTCCGGGAAGTCCTGCTTTTAGGGTGCATATTTCCAATGAGTTACAATTCACCAAATAGTCTCTCAGCAGTTCAAAGGGAATTTGCGTATAAAACCTTCTCTCTGTTAACCCAACCAGCCATCTTTCCTTGTTCCACCCCTAATGATTACATGGTTTGCCTCAATAATGCTACTAAGAGGTAATTATGAACAAGATCTAGACTAAACGCCACAATTCAGATTTTTCTTTGTATACCCTGGCAGATAAGCACAATGCACTTTTATCACCACCCACATCTCAACCCCAGCCAGAAGAGACTGAAGGCCATAGATAGGGTGGTGGCCATTGACTCTGTTAATGCCTGTACAATCAGAAATCTGAGCATCAACCTGGTCTTTTGACAAATGTTGTTGTTGTTGTTATGTGCCGTCGAGTCAAACCCGACTCATAGCGACCCCTCCTTGGGTTTCCGA